CGTGTGTGTGTGTGTGTGTGTGTGTGTGTGTGTGTGTGTGTGTGTGTGTGTGTGTGTGTGTGTGTGTGTGTGTGTGTGTGTGTGTGTGAACGACAGGCTGCGTGATGGTGATGGCAGAGGCAGCAAAGCAAACTCAAGTGCATTTCCGTGCGCGTCCCCAACCGCATCAAGAATGCATGCAGCTCACCGGATGATGATTGGCCAGCAGCGAGCTGACTTTCAGATCTGAGGCACTACCCACATCTCCCTTGCAAGGCCAAGATGAAATCGGTTGCGTGAGATCGACACTGACACAGGCGCATGTATCATCAAGATCTGCAACGCACACTCACGCTGACTCACCGAGAAGCAGTGCAAGACAGCCGGTTTGGATATGGGCTGGTCCAGCCAATCATCGCCCCCTTGTGGTGTGGGTTAGAGTCCATGGACGGGTGAAGACGAGCAATATACAAAAGCGACAAGATGAGTGACAGAGGAAGAGTTGTGCCAACACACACACACACACACACGCACACACACACACACACACACACACACACACACACACACACACACACACACACACACACACACACACCTGCGTCAAGCTGCTTTGGAATGTCCACGCCAACGAGTGCACAGCAATCCAGGATGCGAAACGGGATGGCGAGCTCAGCACCGCCGCTGCTGCCACCACCCACCCCATCGCTCCCACTCATCGTTCTTGTCCTGCTTGCTTGTTGTTGTCTTGCTTGGTTGTGTGTGTGTGTGTGGGAAAAACGCAGCAGGACTTATGCACGACGTCATTTCGTTTTGCGGACTGTGTTGTTGTTGTTGTTGTTGTTGTTGTTGTTGTCTCAGTTGTTGTTGTTGTCTCATTGTTCCTCCTCCCCCCCCTGCTGCTGTTGTTGGTTGTTAGTTGTTGCTGGTGTTGTTGGTATTGTTGTTTCCTCTCACCACATGCCATGTCTCACGCAATGCACCCAACTGTTCAGTGAGCACCAGCCACGGCGCAAGACTCAAAGCAACGTCAAAGCAAACGAGCAGTCCCATCGCAACCGCACAACAAACAGCAAGCGACCCGTGCACACACACACACACACACACACACACACACACGCACATCTCACACATGCGCGCGCAACGCAAGCAGGCAGGCAGACATGCACACACACACACGCGCGCGCGTGAGCATCATCTGCTTATACGCCGTTGCCGCTGCCGTTGTTGCCGTTGTTGTTGTTGGCGGCGGCAGGTGCTGGTGGCTGTGCGGGCGATGCCCCGGCGCCTGCTGCCTGCTGCTGCCTGCGCTGCATGTGGAAGATGTCCACGAGCGTGCGGCCAACGGGCTTGTCCAGGTTGGATGCTGCGCTTGGCGTTGTTGCCGCCTGCGCCGCTGCTGCCGCCGCCTCGGGTGTGCCCTCCTCGGCCGCAACGCTCTGCGCCTCCAGCAGCACGACAGAGCACGTGATGTCGTCGCGGTAGTTTCGGGCCTGCGGCGCCTGGATCTCCAGCAGCTTGTCCACGTCCCCCTGGGTGCCTTCCTCCGCATAGCGCTCGAGGGCGCGCTTGGTCAGCTGGGCCGCGGCCAGCAGCGTGCTGCTGCCGCTCTTGAGCGCCTTGCTCACCACCTGCACAGCCTCGTCCGAGGACACCACGTCCCACACGCCGTCTGTGGCCAGGATGAGGAACTTGGCCTGCGCGTCGATGCTGGTGTGCAGCACCTCGGGCTTGGCCGTCACATACGGCGGCGTCTTGCTGTACTTGGGCACGCGCACGCCAATCTCCTTCATGGCAGCCACCTCCCACTTGTACCGCGAGTCGCCAAACGCGCGCGAGGGCTGCAGGCCGCCCAGCACCCGCCCGCGATACACGCACTTGTCCTCGCCCGGGTGCTCGCGGCGGATACGGGCCACCTCCGATGGCGTTGTGCCCGTCTGGTCGTTGGAGAGCACGGCGGCGCCAACACGCCCGCCGGCCTGCTCGATGCCCAGGACAGCGCGGCAGTCGCCCGTGTTGGCAATGTAGATGCCCGTGGCGTTGATGAGGGCGACACACGCCACCGCCCCGCTGAACGCAGGGTTGACAAACGCTTCCAGCAGTCGCTTGTCCTTCGTCTGTGTGAGTGAGTGTGAGTGTGTGTGTGTGTGAGTGTGTGTGTGTGTGAGTGAGTGTGTGTGCGTGTGTGTGTGTATCAGTGTGTGTGTGTGAGTGTGTGTATCAGTGTGTGTATCAGTGTGTGTGTATCAGTGAGTGAGTGTGTGTGAGTGTGAGTGTGTCAGCATCCGCATCAGTGTTGCATCAGTGTTTGCCCAAGACAGCTCCTCACTGAGACGTTCGACAAAGCATTCCGCAATCCATCGACCATCAGCACCACCAATGCCACCACCCATTGACCACCACATCACTGCCATCGCACCTCGAGCGCCATCTTGGGCACGACCGAGGTGAAGTCGCGGTCAAAGGCCTCAAACGCGTCCGACAGCGCCGCCGCCGTGGCCTGCACCGTTGTCGAGTCACTCTTCTCAAGCGCTTGCTTCACATAGGTCGGCAGAAACACGCTGAGCGCATCCGAGGTCTGAAAGCCGCTGTGCCCGTCATACATGCCCACGAGCACGCCGTGGGGGCCAAGAAAATGCTCGCTGTGCCGATCCTCCAGCGGGTCGTTGGCTGCCAGCCAGCACGTGAGGATCTCGGAGACGCCATGGCATGACGCAAGCTTGCTCGCTTGGTTGTGCACGAGCGCCGATTCAACCGCGGTGCTCCTGCTCAGCCGCTTGCGTGCGGGAAGACCTTGATCTACACGTACAGCCATGAAGAACGGGTCGAAGAACGTGGTCAACAAACAAAACACATGTCGAAAGACTGTGCATGCGCAGACGCTCAACAGGTTTGTCTACACCAGCACCTCGACTTTACACCCCAACTCATCGACATCCTGACACACACACGCACACAAGTGCATACACACAAACGAACACACAAACAAACACACACATACACACAAAACAAACATACATACACACGAACACACAAACAAACATACACACCTACACGAACGAACGAACGAACAACCAAACAACCAAACAAACAAACAAGCAAGCAAACAAACAAGCAAGCAAACAAACAAACAAACAAACAAGCAAACAAACAAGCAAACAAACAAACACGCACACGCGCGCATACAAAGGACTGACTTGCAACGGCAGCGTTGTGCTCGTCGATTGCTTTTTGACTGGAAGGGTCTTGCTGCATAAAGTAGGCAACAGCGCCACCAATCAGCGTTGCACCCACAGCACCAATGGCAAGAGCCGCTCCGCGTCCCCCACCCTCTGTCAATTGAACGTGTGTATGCAAGTGCGCGTGAGTGCGTTTGGCATCATTGCTTGGGGTTAAACAATCCGAGTAAGATGAGGAAGCAGAGGCAGGAGAGGTCTGACACAACAAGTGCCAGGACACACACACACACACATACACACAACACATACATACACACACACACCACGTCGGCACGTTGACACGATCACATCACATCACGTTGGATACAACCAACGCACTTGGCTGAGGTGGTGGCGGTGGTGTTTCTGCACCCGCCTCTTCGGAAGGCTTGTCGCTCTTGTGGCGGCGGCTCAGGTAGGTGCGCACATGGTTCTGGGCGCTGCGCACAGTCCGTCCACTGCGCAGCCCGCCTCCGCTCAGGGCGTTCAGCGCACCGGCGCTGCCGAGCACACGTGGCAACAACACCCGAGGAGACAACATGCTGCTGGTGGCCAAAGTTGATTGATTGTGATTGGCGATGAGCAGTTTGGAGGATTATGGCAAGTTTTTCACCATTCTTCGTCGATCCAAGGCACTGCAGCAAAGAAGAAAGCGGAATTGCTCAGTGGTGTGAAATGATGTTGTGATGTGACAGTGCCCGATGCACGCAGTGTCACACCTTTCCACGCTCGTCCGATCGCTGTTGTCATTCTCACTGAATCTACCAAGGCTTTACTCTTTCCACAACACACGACAGCAACACAACACACGGCACACGGCACGAAAACTCGGGTGTTCACACAGATGAACACAGATGAACACAGGTGAACACACCTACACACTCCACACCCACACATGCACACACGCGCGCGCGCCCTCTCTCCCACTCTCTCACTAGGGCGGCAACGACAGTGACAGGATGGTTACGAGTGCGATTCTCCTTGCAGCTTGGCGAGGTCTTCTTGCACAGTCTCCAGTTCCTTCTGCAACTGCTCCTGTTGCGCGTGCAGATGCTCTGCCTCATCAAACTCTTCGCGCGCAATTGCGTCCTCAACCTGGCCATCCAGCGCGGCCACCTGCTCCTGCAGCTCAGCCCTCCTCTCCTGCAGAGAGGCAATGGCTGCGCTGTTGTCCTCCTCCGCTTCCTCTTCTGCATCTGCATCTGCATCTGCATCTGCTTCCGCGTGTTCCTCCTCATGTTCATCCTGTTCTTCTTCATTGTCTTCCTCCTCCTTCTGCTCCTCCTCTTTGTCCTCTCTGGTTTCCTCTTCCTCCTCTTCCTCGTCTCCCTTGTCCTCTGCCTCCACGCCCCTCTCTTCGTCTGCTGCCGTGTCATCACCGCTGTGTTCCTGCTCGACACGCCCGTCTTCTTCTTCTTCTTCTTCTTCTTCTTCTTCTTCTTCTTCTTGTTCTGCTTCTTCTTCTTCTTCTTCTTCTTCTTCTTCTTCTTCTTCTTCTTCTTCTTCTTCTTCGTTGTCGTCGTTGTCGCCTGCATGTTCACTATCCGCGTCCGCGTCCACATCGCGCTCGCCCTCTCTGTCCTCCGCCAAATCTTCGTCACCACTTGCGGCCAGCGATCCATCACTGCCGTTAGAAGCTGCGCCGCTCATTTCCTCCTCCCCTTCTTCCTCTTCCTCTTCTTTCTTCTGCTGGTCTTCCTCCTCATCAACACCGCTTCCTCCTTCTGTCTCTTCTTCGTCCTTCCCTCCTTCGTCCCTGCCATCTGCCTCATCGGCACCCGAGCCAGTGCTGTTCTCGGCCTCCGTGTCTGCCTGCACGCCAAACGCGCCGAGCAAGTCCTCCGAGATGCCAAATGCGTTTGCTGCCACGGCACTGGCCTGCCCCTCCGTGTCGTCAGCGATAAGTTCATCAAAGCTGATGAGTGGAGTGGACACCACGGCCTGCCCGTCTCCCGCCCGCGCGAAATCGTCTTCCTCATCCGACGCCTCGTCCTCCGTCTCGGGCTGGCATGCAGATGGGTTGGGGGGGGGGGGTGTGCGTGGTAGTGTGTGAGTATGCGCGCGCGTTTGAGCATGTGTATTGCATGTGATGAACATGTGTGTGTGTGTGTGTGTGTGTGTTCGTGGGCGGTCGAGTGCAAACTGTTGCAACTTGTGTGTGATTCTCGACACAGCAACGCCAGCAGTGTGCGTGCTCACCGTGCTTGGTGGGGACGGCAGGTCCTTGTCGTGCTTGGATGAGAGCTGACTCAGCAAAAACTCCCTGCAAACATAAGCGAGAGAATGGGGAGGGGGGTGGCAATCGAAACTGCGTGAGCACCAGCAATCTCAGATGATCCCATGTATGCGTGTGTGCAGAGTGTGGTTGTATGTGTGTGTGTGTGTGTGTGTGTGTGTGTGTGTGTGTGTGTGTGTGTGTGTGTGTGTGTGTGTGTGTGTGTGCGCGCGCGCGCGTGCGTGTTCCTGTGCACGTGTGCGTGTGTGTGCTTGCTTGTGCAGGTGTATAGATCTCAGTATCTCTGTGCTCTCACGTCGCCTCAAAGTCGGCGATGAGGAGGAACTGGCCGGGCTCGCTCCGCCTGTGAAGTGGGACGCAATCGCAGACACGCAGACATGCAGACGCGCACGACACCATATGACGGTGAGGGTGATGCAGCGTGTACACGCGAGCAAGCGCAATAGCGTGGGCGGTACAACAAGTCTCAACACAAAGGCGCAATACGCAATCCACACCCTTGTGTCGACAAACGGTTGGCACGATGAGAGCACACAAGTGCGTGCCACACCTGATTGCCCGCCGTTTCTCCACGAAGAGCGTGCGGTAGAGATCTGTCAATTGCGCCATCAGCTGCAAGCACCAGGGGCATTGATGGTGGTGGTGGTGGTGAGTCAAGGACAGTAGGGTGAAAATGTGAGCCCTTCCAGGGACATGCGTATGCTCAGGGTGCACAACCGCCCACACACACACACAAACACACACACACATGTGCGTGTTGTCGAGAGAAAACCACACAGAGAGGCGGACGTACAACGACATATCAAGCCGGGGTAGACTGACGCATGTACCTTTTCGTCTGCTTCCTCCTCTGCCGCGCGCACGTCCTTCTCCAGCGCTTCACACTCCGCATTCATTGTCTCCAGGTCCGCACTGCACACACACACGCGCACACACACACATATGCAAGCAGGGTTTAAGTTAGAGACAAGCTCGCACATGCGCAAACACATGTGGCGGCGACATAATATGCCGTTTTCCATCACACAAACACACAAGTAGACGAAACGTGCACACATACACACGCGCACGCGAATCGGCAGGTGGCAATGCACTGACTTGAGCTGCTGCTTTGTTGCCTCGCACTCCTTGATGTCGATGGTGAGGGCCTCGACTTTGCCCGTCAGCTCCTGCACCTCCGCAGCAAGGCGCCGCGCCTGCACCGATGTAATGGGACACCATGTGAGATGGATGCACTTGAGGGATGGCAGCAGCGAGAGCACAACATGCACACAGAGAGAGAGAGAGAGATGCACGCGCGCGCGGGAGAGAGAGAGAGAGAGAGATGCACACACGCACACACGCACACACGCACACACGCACGCACACACACACACGCACGCACGCACACACACACACACACGTCAACATACACGCACGCACGCACACACGCACGTACACACACACACACGTCAACATACACGCGCACGTCTCGTCTCACCTCCTTGAAGTTTCTGCTTGAGGCTGCGAGCTTCTTTGCCTCGTTGAGGGACGGCAGCTCCTGCTGCGTGTCCTCAAGCTGTTTGCGCAGTTGCGACACGCGCGACGCCTCGTCAAGCGCCTGGTGGCGGTGGTGTGGAACGCGGCGGTGAGATGATTATCGCCGTGGTCGTGGGCAGGAGTGGCCAGACAACAAGTCAGCTGTCTGTTGTGCACACGCAACCACATGCACACGCAGCCACATGCACACGCAACCACATGCACACGCACATGCACACGCATACGAAAACAGGTACACGCATACGAAAACAGGTACACGCATACGAAAACAGGTACACGCACACGAGCACATGTACACATTAATCTCAAACATGCACATAACCTTGCACACGTGCGTGGTGGCTACCTGTTTGGTGGTTGACTGGATTGCTGCGCGTTTATCCTCAAGCTGCTTCTTCATGGCCTCCACCTCTGCCGTCGCGGACGTGTGCGCGTCCACAATGGTGGCCAGGCGGCTGCCGCCCTCGCTCGCATCCAGCGCTGACGCAACCTAAACACACAATTGGAAGTAGCAAAGCAGGTGAGGGTGAAGCTAACATAAACAGGCCACGTGCTTCAGCCTTCAACAAACAATCAAACACACGCGCAAAATATGACACAAGAGCACACGCGCAAAATATGACACAAGATAACACAAAATATCACACATACACACATACACACACATACACATACACACATACACACATACACACATACACACATACACACATACACACACAAACACACAAACACACACAAACACACACACCCTTGCCCTGCCTCTCTGCCTGCGCACGAGACCTTGGCGGCGTGCCTCTCGAGGCGGGCGAGGGAGCGACGGGATTCCTCCACGCGCGACTGCACTTCCAGCACGGCCTCGTCAAGCCGCTCAACCTGCACCCGCGCAGACGCAGTGCTGAACCAAAGAAAGGGGAGGGGGGAGGTTACACGTCACGTGTATGTGAGGATGGAGGAGGTGAAGGGAGACAGTATGAGTGTGCTTGTGTGCACATGTGTGCACGTGCGTTTGTTTCGACGTGTTGGTCATTCCTTCAACGATGTCTACCACCACCATCACCATCATCACCATCAGCACCAGCACCACCACCACCGCCATCAGCACTACTGCATGTTACCTGTTGTCGAGGTCCTCCTTTGCTTGTGTGAGGACGGACTCCTGCTCCTGCAGCCGCTCCTCCTCCTCGTCAATGCGCGCCCGCTCGCTCGACACGGCATCCTTCTCCGCCTCAAGGTCTGCACACACACGCACACACACGATGATGGAGCAGGGTGTGAGCAGCAGAGTGATGGGGAAAGTGTGTGGGGGGGGGATTGCATACACAACCATCTCCCTCCCCCTTCCCCCTCCTCGCCATCATCATAGTTATGGCCAACAACCTTGCTCTGCGAGTGCAATGTGTTCGTCCTCCTTTGCGATGCTGCGCGTCAGCCGTTCCTCTGTCGCCCGCAGGTCCTGGTAGCAATGATCAACCACACACACACACACACACGCACAGATAGCGTGGACGTGAGGGCAGTCGCGCTGTGAGCTCATGTTGAAAAGCTCATGCAGAAGCATGTGCACACACACACACACACACAAAACGCCACACAACTCCACACACACACACACACACACACACACACACACACACACACAACTACACACACGAGTACACACACACGAGTACACGGCACCTTGAGCTGCCGCTCGAGATCTGCAATTGATTTGCGGACAGAATCCCGTTCGGCAACGAGACTGCGTTTTGTTTCCTGGAATTCGGCCGTGCGTTCGATGGAACGTTCACGGAGCTTCTCCTCCTCCTCTTGCACGTGTTCTTGGTCCAGGCGCAGGTGCTCACGTTGCCTGCCAGTTCAATTTTCCACAGCACGGGTAGGGTGGAGGGAGTGAGAAGATGTGTCAAAGTATGCATGGGTGGCCACGATGATGGCATGCGCACTTGTCGCAAAAACAAAAAAAAAAAGCTGCCACACACACACACACAACCAAACACACACACACACACACACACACACACACACCTTCGCAGCTTGGACTCCTCCTGTTGGATGCGTGCCCGCTCTGTGCGCGTGGTGTGCTGCAGTTCGCTCCTGTATGCCTTGAGCTCGTCGACTTGCTGCTGCAGCCGCGAATCAAGCTTTCCCGCCATGTCCGTCTGGATCTCTGCCTTGTGCAGCACAATTGTCTCCTGCTGCTGCAACTGGGATGCAATGCCGGCGACAGCGGCCCGCAGCGCTTCACTCAGATCGCTCGCGCCAGACACCTTTGCCTGCAGGCACGCAATCTCCTCTGTAGACGCAGTACAGTCAAGTTGAAAGGATAGGTAAGCGCATGTGCATGTGGGCAAATGTGCGTCTGACGTGTGTGTGTGTGTGTGTGTGTGTGTGTGTGTGTGTGTGTGTGTGTGTGTGTGTGTGTGTGTGTGTGTGTGTGCATGTATCACCCTGCTTCGTTTCCTCTGTCACCACCGTGCATGTGTTTTCTCTCGCCACCTCACACCTTCTTTCTCCTCGGCCGCAGCGTAGTCCTCTGTCTCAATCGCCGTCTCCAGTTCCTGCTCAAGCTGCTTGATGCGTGCTGTTGCGGAAGAAATCTCCGCCCGCTCCTCCCGCGCTTCACGGAGAATCTGGGCCACAGAAAAACAGCAATGGAAAAACACACTGGCGTGAGATGGTCACGAAAGAACATATACCAACGGGAACACACACGCACGCGAGCAAATGTGCACACACGCAAACACACAAGAACCCGCTTGCAACCATCCGCGCAACCTGTTGGATGTGTGCTGCGATTGCTTCCTCCTTTGCTTCAAGCTCCGTGAGCTCATCTTGTGCCTGCAAGCATAAGATGAAACAAGTACCAACAAGTTACATACGTACCACTGGACAAAGCACACACATGTACCCCTGTTCGCACGTGCGCGCGCACACGCACACACACACACGCACGCACGCACACACACACACACACACACACACGCACGCACACACACACACACACACACACACACACACACACACACAC